CTGTAGCTTACAATGTGATTGCAAATGTGTGCTAACTAAACCCGTTTTTAACGCATACTGTTAGACGGGGTAATTTGGTTTGTTTGCAGGCTGGCTGGCAAGTTGAGCCGGGAACGTTTCTCTTTTGTTGTGTGACATGCGTTGCCCGTTCAAGTGCTCCTTGCTGTGAAGGCCAGTTATAGACTGGGGCAGCGGCCATTTCTTGTACTATCAGGGTGAGCAAGCCTAGTGCTTGTCAGTCTCCAAAGATGCAGTTTTACAGCTTCCACCAACCTTCCATCTCTCCCAGACATGACTTGTCTGTTCCCAGGTATGAGAGATCTGACTGCATGTTTCTGGTGAGTATAAATTACACCCGGGGAGAGGCGTGAAACCTGAGCTGGACCAAGGATCAGAGATCCCTAGAAGTGTATGAGAGGAGCCTGGGAGATGTGTGAACCCAGAAGAGGATTTTCCCGGCTCCCTCTGAGACACTCTGCTACATATCCCCCCTTGTTTCATCCCCAGGGTTGGCACAGCTGTGGCCCAACAGGAGTGAACCCGGGACCGGGCATCTACATTTCCCATCTTAGCCCCTGGTCTGTGTTTTACCATGAAGGGATAATCTTGAGGAGCCAAAAACCACCAGTTCACCCGTCTATTTGTCTCCTTCTTTTGGGCCATCCATTGAGGGGATCATGGTCAGCTATCAGGTCAAACTCACCCTAACAAATAGTATCTTAGAGCATCCAAGGCCCACTTTATGGCTAAACATTTCTTGTCAATTTACACATATTTCGTTTCCATGTTCATTACGTTTGTTTTCTGCTCAGGTAGACTACAGGGTGTTCTTCCCCATTATGTACCTGGGACAACATTGCCCCAATACCAACATCAGATGCATCCGTTTGAACCACATATAAATCCTTGGAAAAATCGGGGGTGTACAGTACTGGGTGTGCACAAGGGGGCCCTCTTCAGGACTTGGGAAGACTCTTCTGCCACTGGGTACCATCTTACCATTACCAAGTCTTTCCCTTTTGTAAGGTCAGCCAGTAGAGATGTTAGAGTTGCACAATTTTGGATAGACCTTCTATAGTGCCAAGGAAGGTTTGCTGCTTTTTGTTTGCAGGATATGGCCATTCTTAGATGGCTTCTATTTTGTTTTATGACTCCTTGTCCAATAGTGTTGTCCAATTACTTGGTTTTTGCCGTTACTTTGTGGAACATTGTACAGCACCTGTAAATAGCACCAATAAACACTGCACTGTGTGACACCACATCACTGGACTGGTATCTGTCCCTGAAAGTGGGCCCATCCCAGGGAGCTTTGTACCCGATACCCATCCCCAGCCCACGATTCAGAAACATTGAACTGCAATTTCCACTGCTCTGACCAGTCTTCCAGCAACACCAAATCCTGTTCCATGTTACAGGTAATTCCAAGTTCTATATGTAGTCTCATGGGTCCCTGTGGAAGTCCATGTGTGGACATGTCTACCTATGATAAATGACAGGCTAAACCCACCTGGAGACCTGGGGACACTGTACAGGTTCTATATGTAGTCTCGGGGGGCCCCTGTGGAAGTCCATGTGAGGACATTCCTACCTATGATAAATGACAGGCTAAACCCACCTGGAGACTTTCTCCACACCTGGAGTGTGCTGAGTTCTTGGAGAACGTCTACACAGTGTTTCCAGATTGGCTTTATCACCCCAACGAGCTCGCTCCAGTTCATGGATGTCATCATTATGTTTGGAGGATCTCACCAGTCAGGAGCCTTTCCTGTCATCCTACATGTTCCCTTCTGAGGATTGTTCTATCCTTCCAAACAAATGTATGAAATCATGGATGAGTCCTCCTTCTATGTGATCTAGAAGATCTTCAATCACAATGTCTTTATGGATGAAGTGGATGGCCCAGTTTATATATTATTTATTGCTTTACAGCTTTATTCCCTCCAGGATTCATTCTTTATTTATAGAACCATTCAAGGAAGTGTTCTTACTTTGAGAGATCTCCACCACCATTCCTCTGTGACCATTCCATCCTTGTCATTTATTTATTTCAGGTACTTATATAGCGCCGTCAATTTACGCAGCACTTTACATATATATTGTACATTCACATCAGTCCCTAACCCTCGAAGGATGTACAATCTAAGGTCCCTAATTCACATTCATACATACACATACTAGGGACAATTTAGACATGATCCAATTCACCTACCAGCATGTCTTTGGAGGGTGTGAGGAAACCGGAGTACCCGGAGGAAACCCACGCAGACACAGGGAGAACATGCAAACTCCAGGCAGGTGGTGCCGTGGTTGGGTTTTGAATCGGCGACCATAGTACTGCCAGGCAGAAGTGCTAACCACCTTCAAAACAACCGCACTGTCTTTTTCCAGAGCAGCCTGGATTTTTCTTGTGGTTACCTGTGGGTTTCCCTTTGTATCCTGAACAATTATTCTGGCAGTTGTGGCTGCAATCTTTCTTGGTCTACCTGTACTTGGCTTGGTATTAAAAGGTCCCTGAATTTTCTACTTCTTAGTGGAAGTGATGATTGGCATTATCAAGGCTTTGAACATCTTTTTATGTCCTTTCCATCTTTATAAAGTTCCATTACCTTGTTACGCTGGAATTTTGATAGTTCTTTTCTGCTCCCCATGGCTCAGTATCTAGCCTAGTCAGTGCTTCCACGGAAGAGCTAACAAACTCATTGACTATTTATACACTGACACTAATTGCAATTTACAAAGCCACAGATGTGGGACATTAACCTCTAATTGGAATTTTAACCCGTGTGTGTCACCTTGTGTGACTGTACCAAGGCCAAACATTCCAGGGGGCGGAGACTTCTGATCTGGGGGGCGGAGACTTTTGATCTGGGCCATTTCTGTTGTCATTATGATTTCTAAAAGAGCCAAACAACTATTGGATAATAAATGGCTTCATGTGATCATCATCCTTCAATAAAAGAGCAGATCAGTCGTATTTCAATATCAATGCAAAATGTCACATTTTCTGCCAGGGGATGCAAACTTTTGAGCACAACTGTATGTATATATATATATATATTTAATGACATTTATTGCTTACTTATACATACACAGCTGTATCTTTTTATCAATTTTTTTTATCTGCATTTGTGTTTTGACATGGTGGAGGACCCTGGGGAGGCTGCACTATCAATACCCCCCCCCCAGGTGATCCAAGATATGGAGAGAATTGTCGTTGTTCACCTGGTGACGTCTGCTGGGGCTCATCCTGGGACTAAGGAAAATGGGTCTCCGAGTGTGTCCTCCTGAGAAGATGTCTGTGGTGGAGGTGAGGGCTGCTGCAGTGGTGGAGGTGAAGGCTGCTGCAGTGGTGGAGGTGAGGGCTGCTGCAGTGGTGGAGGTGAGGGCTGCTGCAGTGGTGGAGGTGAGGGCTGCTGCAGTGGTGGAGGTGAGGGCTGCTGCAGTGGTGGAGGTGAAGGCTGCTGCAGTGGTGGAGGTGAGGGCTGCTGCAGTGCAGTGGTGGAGGTGAAGGCTGCTGCAGTGGTGGAGGTGAGGGCTGCTGCAGTGGTGGAGGTGAGGGCTGCTGCAGTGGTGGGCTTCTGTGTGTTGTGGCTTTGTGCACCGGCACCATCTTGGCTGGAGGAGTTCACTGCAGAAGAGGGGACTGGCGGTCTGACTGAGGCTGCTGTGTGGGCTTCTTTTTCACCATTAGCACCGACTGTACATCTTGTGTTCCCCCAGCTAGTGCTGCTGTTTCCGGGACCCCTCCTCTGCCCCACTTCCTTCATTTATCTCAGATGGTGGAGGACGTGCAGAGCGCGGTCAGCACATAACCTGTCCCTGCCCAGCGCATGCGCACTGCGGGTTCAAAGACATTTTCTAGCAAAAATACTGGATGTTACATGGAAACAAAAAGTGTCAGAAATGGCTTGGGGGGGGTCAATGTCCTATTCCTGATCTGTGCCGGCTGTCCCATGTCCTGGTATGAAGACGTCTCCTCTCTCTCTGTATCGCTTCCTTTGTGTAAGATCCCCGGTGATCCTGCCAGTCCCTCTGCTTCCCTGTCACTTTCATGGTCAGTTCTCCATCCATGCTGAAAACAAAGCCTGCTCTCCTTCAATGATAAGACTTGTCCTGACACCCCCCCTGCTCAGCCATGCACTGGGAAGACCTGTAAACAGAAGTCAATTGTGCTGTTGTTTCTCCTTCCCATATACAGCTGAGATCAGAGGGAATGTGATCACTTATAAAAAGGGGAACAATGTATTTCTAATCTTTTTCTATCTATACACAAATGCTTTTCTTTCATTTTTATGTTTACCTGAACTGGTTGTATTACAAGGTGAAGGCTTACATACAGATCACCTTCTATCCTTCCATGTCTACTGTAGTAGGAAGTGTATTAGTATGAATCCATGCCTGAAGAAGGAGAGTAAGGGGTCTGCTGATAGAAATTAATTGGACGAATGTGACACAAATTCATGGAGCCCTTACAGATTCTGGCTGTAATGTAACACGTTGATTTCCTATGACTGTCAGCTCCATCTAGTGACCATACTGAGGTATTATTCATGAAATACCTCAATCAGTAAAAGTATCTCAATACTGCATTATGGCCACTAGATGGAGCCAAGAATATCAGAGTATGAAATAAAATACGGCCAATGTTCATCCCAGCTGGGCGAACGCCGGTCACATTCGTTCAACTCATTCTTTTATTTTTAAATAGATCTCCAAGTGTTTGTGAAATCTCCCACCACAAAATGTACTCAGCCAATGACAGGTCAGGACATTTTTATTCTCCTCATGATATGTATGGCAACCCGGTCCCACACTTCATCCATGTCTTTGGGGGCCTCTCATCTCCTTATGAACTGTTTCTTCCATGATGAAGATCAGCCATGGAGTATATCTGAGGTGTATATCAGGGTGTGCTTCTTCCCCACATGAGAGCTGGGATGTCCAGCAACATTCATCTAGAAGACATTTCCCGCACTCAAGGCACTAATACACCTCCAGGGTTGTATGGGACCCCTGATGTACAGGAAGACAGGACTTCAGTGAGGAACATTTCCCTCACTCAGGACAGGAAAGTGGCTTCTCCCTGTGTGACATCTCTGATGGATAGAAAGATTGGACTTCTGTGAAAAACATTTCCCGCACTCAGGACAAGGATACGGCTTCTCCCCTGTGTGAGATCTCTGATGTATGTAAAGATTAGACATATGTGAAAAACATTTCCCGCACTCAAGACAGGAATACGGCTTCTCTCCCGTGTGAGATCTCTGATGTTTGTAAAGGTTGTACTTCACTGAAAAACATTTCCCACACTCAGGACAGCAATATGGCTTCTCACCCGTGTGAGATCTCTGATGTATGCAAAGACTGGACTTCCATGAAAAATGTTTCCCGCACTCATGACAAGAATATGGCTTCTCCCCAGTGTGAGATCTCTGATGTGAAACAAGCTCTGATTTTTGAAAAAAAACTTTTCCCACAATCAGAACAGGAAAATGGCTTCTCCCCTGTGTGCAGTCTTTGATGTGTGCTAAGGTGAACCTTCTGTGAAAATGTTTTCCCGCACTCAGGACAGGAATATGGTTTCTCAGCTGTGTGAAGCCTCTGATGTTTTTTAAGATTAGACTTTTTTTTTGAAAAACATTTCCCGCACTCAGGACAGGAATACGGCTTCTCCCCCGTGTGAGATCTCTGATGTTCATCAAGATAGCATTTAAAATGGAAACCCTTCCCGCACTCAGGACAGGAAAAGCTTTTCCCTGTTGGAAGAACAGCCCGGTCCCGCACAGTCTGAGGTTCTTCAGGATACAAGGAATCCGATGGTCCATCTACACTGGGTGGTGCCGGATGGACATTGGAGGGAGCCGGGTTTTCTCCTGGACTATACTGTGTGATGTCCTCATCTTCTACTTTCCAGTCTGGAGACAAAGTGAGACAATCCTCGGAGGTTTTCCTCATCTCCCGGCCATGGACTAAAATACAAAGACAAAGAGGATTACTAGACAGGAGCTGATTGGTTCCCCCAAACAGGACTCCGCCCACATCAGGCAAGATGGGGAACACAGCTCAGGAAAGTGACCAGGGGATTACAGGCTGATATCACCCAGTCCCCGCCCTACTCTGGACCAATCAGTGAGCAGTATGGGTGGAGGAATGGATTTAGTGTTCATGACCCACCTGTGCTGATCTCTGTAGGAGTGTCCTCCTCTATAAATGTCCCCGTTATTCCATCCTCCTCCATAGACTGCTGATCATCCCTCACATACGCCTCTTCTTCTTCTTCTGCTTTCACCTCAAATTCTATATCGATTGGATCTCCACTCTAAATCAAGGAAATGAGAGAAAACATCATCTGTAAAATATAAGGTCACATGAAAAACTCCACACATTGTCTCTAGGAGTCCATGTTCTAGATGCTCCATCCCACCAACCTTGTAATAGTGAGGGATGGTGGTGTGACCTTCCTGTGTGGAATCCCGGGAATACAGAGGACGGGGACATCTCTCTGGTGGGTTCCTGGTATTAGGTGGCTCCATCATATCCTTGTGTCCTTCTGAAAACTCCTCCATCACTCCATACTCCTCATCCTCCTCTTTATACTCTTCTTTAACATCAATATTATCATCCCCGAGGATTCCACTCTGAAAGATATAATAAAACATTCATTGTAACAAACATGCTGTGTATAAATCACAACTACCAATAATTGTCATCATCTACCTGATGATGGTGAGGGATGGTGTGACCTTCCTGTGTGGAATCCCGGGAATACAGAGGACGGGGACATCTCTCTGGTGGGTTCCTGTAGCTGGATGACTCCACCATGGTGTCCTGGTACAGATCTTTGTGTTCTTTTAGAAGCTCTGACTCCTCCATCCCCCCATCCTCATCCTCCTCCTCTTTTATCTCTTCTTTAACCTCAACTTTAGGATCTCTCAGGTTTCCACTCTGAATATATAATAAAAATGCCATCAATGGTAACAATGCAGATAATGTACAGATCCTGAAGAAGATAAAAATGATGTAGCGCTAAAACACCCAGTTATAGCATCAGTACCTTAGGACATATAGCATAATGTTGAAATACTATATAAACGTAATACATATATGTGCGTGATGATACTAACAAGGTAAAAGATAGAAAACAGATGTGCAACCCCTACACACAGTGCACATATATAGATATAAAGTCCAGTGATCCTGTATCAATATTTTCACTCAAACAGAGTCCATGGACTGTATGTGGACCCGCAACACCACCACGTGCAATCCAAAATCAGCTGAAGTGGCCTCTCACCTCCTCCCTGCGACCCTGCAGGGCCACAGAGCTTTAACAGATCCCCACTGAGTCAAGGTATGCTTCCTCTTGAGTGGATGGTTTCTTTAGTATATTCCCAGTATACAACTTCCACCTCTCCTATAGTATTCTCCGAGGTAAGCTGAGCAGGATGGACCCCAGCTCAAGCCCCCATAGGATAAAGGAAGCAAAAGACATCCTCCATAGTGTAAAACCGTTTAATAAATGCCAGAAAATAAATGTATAGTACACTCACATTTGCCAGATGAAATACAAGCTGTTTCCCATACCATGGGTGTAAGCGTGTGGCTGAGGGTGTACCAAGATGGCGCCGCGCCGGAAGTGCGTCACCACGTATTGCCGTCGACGCGTTGCGTCACGTGACCCCGTGACTTCCTCAGGACTCAAGTGACACGTGACCACGGGGTCACGTGACGCATCTTGGTACACCCTCAGCCACACGCTTACACCCATGGTATGGGAAACAGCTTGTATTTCATCTGGCAAATGTGAGTGTACTATACATTTATTTTCTGGCATTTATTAAACGGTTTTACACTATGGAGGATGTCTTTTGCTTCCTTTATCCTATGGGGGCTTGAGCTGGGGTCCATCCTGCTCAGCTTACCTCGGAGAATACTATAGGAGAGGTGGAAGTTGTATACTGGGAATATACTAAAGAAACCATCCACTCAAGAGGAAGCATACCTTGACTCAGTGGGGATCTGTTAAAGCTCTGTGGCCCTGCAGGGTCGCAGGGAGGAGGTGAGAGGCCACTTCAGCTGATTTTGGATTGCACGTGGTGGTGTTGCGGGTCCACATACAGTCCATGGACTCTGTTTGAGTGAAAATATTGATATAGGATCACTGGACTTTATATCTATATATGTGCACTGTGTGTAGGGGTTGCACATCTGTTTTCTATCTTTTACCTTGTTAGTATCATCACGCACATATATGTATTACGTTTTATATAGTATTTCAACATTATGCTATATGTCCTAAGGTACTGATGCTATAACTGGGTGTTTTAGCGCTACATCATTTTTATCTTCTTCTGCATTTTGTTTGATCTTGGGGTATTGGATCAGATGTCAGCAGCTTCACACATCTATTAATTGTATTTTACATAGGAGCGCAAGCAGATTTCAAATATAATAATGTACAGATCCTAACGATACTATCAGTGATTGTTCCTCATCTACCTGATGATGGTGAGGGATGGTGTGACCTTCCTGTGTGGAATCCCGGGAATACAGAGGACGGGGACATCTCTCTGGTGGGTTCCTGGTATTAGGTGGCTCCATCATATCCTTGTGTCCTTCCGAAAACACCTCCATCACTCCATACTCCTCATCCTCCTCTTTATACTCTTCTTTAACATCAATATTATCATCCCCGAGGATTCCACTCTGAAAGATATAATAAAACATTCATTGTAACAAACATGCTGTGTATAAATCACAACTACCAATAATTGTCATCATCTACCTGATGATGGTGAGGGATGGTGTGACCTTCCTGTGTGGAATCCCGGGAATACAGAGGACGGGGACATCTCTCTGGTGGGTTCCCATGACTGGATCCATCTGTAGGAAACACACACACTGACTGAATCCATTGTTTCTATGTGTTTATCAGATGATGGGGGATCTAGGTGGATCCTCCGTACTGCTCTCTCCTTTACAATAAAGTCTCCTCTTACCCGGTGATGTGAGGGGCGGCTGATTGTCCATCATGACGTCCTTGTAGAGATCCTTGTGTCCTTCTAAATACTCCCACTCCTCCATGGAGAAATAGACAGTGACACCCTGACACCTTATAGGAACCTGACACACACAATGATACAGTCACCATCCAGACACATCCCTTGTCTGTTACTGGAGAATGTCCCAGAATTCCCGGCACCCGCTCACCTCTCCTGTCAGCAGCTCAGTGATCTCTCTGGTGACTTCTAGAATCTTCTGCATGTTGTGTCTCTCAGGGTTTAGGGAGTCACATGGAGGCACTGTGATGGTCATATGATCACCTGACTTCAGAAGAGGAAATCTCTGCATTGAGGAACCAATAGGAATATCATGTTAGAATCCCAGAATCCTCCTCACCTCTCCGGTCAGGTCTGTGTGATGTCATGTGACCTCCCAGAATCCTCCTCACCTCTCTGGTCAGGTCTGTGTGATGTCATGTGACCTCCCAGAATCCTCCTCACCTCTCTGGTCAGGTCTGTGTGTTATTAATAGAGATAAGGGCAGCACAGTGGCTAAATGGTTAGCACTTCTGCCTGGCAGTACTAAGGTCGCTGGTTCGAATCCCAGCCATGGCACCATCTACCTGGAGTTTGCATATTCTCCCTGTGCCTGCGTGGGTTTCCTCTCACACTCCAAAGACATGCTGGTAGGTGAATTGGCTCCTGTCTAAATTGTCCCTAGTATATGTATGTAAGAATGTGAGTTAGGGACCTTAGATTGTACACCCCTTGAGGGTTAGGGACTGATGTGAATGTACAATATATATGTAAAGCACTGTGCAAATTGACGGTGCTATATAAGTACCTGAAATAAATATATAATAAAGAGTGATGTCATGTGACCTCCCAGAATCCTCCTCACCTCTCCGGTCAGGTCTGTGTCCATAAAGATCCCATAAACCCCCCCGGGTCGCCCGATAGTAAGTGGAATAGGTTCACTCTGTTCCCGTGTTGGTGAATATCTAGATCTTTTTCTACAACCTTTAGTTTGGAAAACACCATCCTTCCTTAAAGATTCAAAACAGGTACTGATGGATATAAAAGACATCCACGTAAGCAGTCACACTCTACTAGTCACAGCGGATGTGTCAGCATTGTATAGTAACATAAAGCATGAGGATGGTTTAAATGCTGCTGAGTTTTATCTTAATGAAGCCACTGAGATCTCACATCCTCAAAAGCGTTACTTGCTAGAACTATTGGAATTTGCAATGCAACACAACTACTTCTGGTTTAATGCTAAATATTACCTACAGCGGACAGGAGTTGCCATGGGCGCGAAGTTTGCGCCGAGTCTGGCAAACCTCTTTATGTCAAGATGGGAAGAGGACATAATATATTCCAGAGACTGGCCGCATTTAATTTTTTATCGAAGGTTTATTGATGACATCCTACTTCTCTGGGAGGGTGACATATTTACGTTGAACAACTTTTTTTACCACCCTCAACCACAATAATAATAATAATATTAAACTCACTTTCCAGTATAGCAACAGTGAGATTAATTTTTTGGACCTAACTTTATGCAAGAATGGGACATGCATTTCCACTAAGACCTTCTTTAAAAGTAACAGACAGGAATAGTTATATTCCTAAAGATAGTTGCCACCTCCCCAGATGGCTAGACAATATACCGAGGGGCCAATTTCTCCGTGTTCGGAGGAATTGTACGGAAGTAGATGACTATAGAAAGCAGGCTAACATACTCAAAGGGAGATTCATTGAGAAAGGCTATGACGAGAATATCTTAGAAAGGGAAATTACTGAAGTGGCTGATATTGATAGAACGAATCTCCTAACGTCCAGAAGTAAAGTTCAAACAGAGAGGAAATGTCCCTTTATCACCAACTTCTCAACACAACACAAGGAAGTGGCCAATATTATTAGAAAAAATTGGAACATTTTAAAAAATGACTCGGTTTTGGGTGAAACCCTTCCAGATCGACCGGAAATTACTTACCGGAGAGCCCCAACATTAAGAAACATGCTAGCTCCTAATATTGTCAACCCCCCTAAGCCTCTTACATTTGGTTTCCTCAACACCAAGGGATTTTTTTCCCTGCAATAAATTGTATGTTATGCACCTTTAATGGCATTCACAAAAGATCTGTGAAAACTTTTAGTTCGAACATAACTGGCCAATCCTATGACATACAATCAACTATTACTTGCTACAGTTCCCATGTAGTTTATCTCCTGAGTTGTACCTGTGGTAAGCAATATGTAGGACGAACGACAAGGAGATTGAGAGACAGGTTACGTGAGCACCTATCTAACATCAAAAAAAAGGTTTTAAGGATCACTCACTGTCCATGCACTTTCGTCAACATCACAACAGGAACCCACACGCACTTAAATTCATAGGTATTGACATGGTTAATAAGAATTGGAGAGGCACACATAAGAGAAGAGCCGTTTCAATGCTAGAAACAAGTGGATTTTTTTTTGTTACACACCCAAGCACCACAAGGGCTAAACGTAGAGCTAGATGTAAACTGCTTCATCGATACCAGCTAATTTATTATTATCAAGGCGTTCTTTATGGGTGGTTCTTCATTTGATCACTATACCAGTCGATAGTTCATACGCGAACTATCGTAGTAGGGGACAGGCTTTTTGGATTGCTACCAGTCTTTGATACATTTTTTCTTTCATGATTTTTATGTTCATTTTCATATGACCTTTACTTGTATTTATTCGAATTTTAATGAGGTTATTTTTTCCTACCTTTTTAGCTTTATATAAGGTTGTTTTATCATATGAATATATTTTATAAGGTTGTTTTATCATATGAATATATTCAACTATCTGCACCCATTCGTTTGGGGAGATGTGAAACGTTAATCTCATATGGTTCATAGTACTGACCAGTATTAACCTATTTATCTGCTATGGATTGTTCTGATTAGATATCAAATCCAATTTTAGATTTCATTAGGAATAGATTTTTCTGGCAATGTTGTGTAGACCATTTCATTACATGTTTATCACACATTAATGCCAGCGGATTATTACTCCTATTTACCATGGAGTGATATTGGTTGAGTGGCATGTTGGAGGAATTACCCTAACCATCCACAAGATGTCACTATCCATAAAATCTCCATGAGACTATGTTTATAGTTTTTTATATATACACTTTTATTTCTATATTTGATGTCTCTTATGTCCTAAGCTCTTCCTTAATAAAATGCATTGTGAGCTGATTGTAAAGTAAGTTAAGAGAATCCTCGATGCTCCTGATGCTGGGCGTCTGCTAAGGAGGTTTTCTGGTATGTATACACTGTGGCACCAACAAAATGGCATCCGCGAACGCTCACTGCGCATGCGCGAATGCCCTCCCTATTTATGAACTCTTGGAAAATGGCCGCGAGCGCTCACTGCGCATGCGCGAAAGTCCGATTTCCGTCTATGTACTCAAATCACTGGGAAAAATGGCCGCTAAGTCATTAGTGCGTATGCGCGAACCGAATCGGCGACGCAGGATTGCACAAATGCGCGCCAATTACCTCTCTATATAAGCACAATCATTTACCATGGGCACACTCCCTCTGAGGAAGTGTTATTCACACGAAACGCGTTAGGGAGGTGCCCCTGACCTGTGTATCCATACCACAAGGCTATCCTGACTGACACCCTGGTGGCCAGACTCTGTTTTGGATGTAAGTTTATCCTCTAATTGTACGTGCCGCAAGTTTTGCTTATTAAAAACATATTACACTATCAGAGGCTTCTCTGGGTCTCATCTATTGCATGGGAGCCCGCTTTTGAAGGTTACGTTTTATTTGGGATGATGATGTGTGATCACCCCCTCCCCCGCTGATGATCTGTCTGGTGGATGACTTACCATTATACCTGGATTGATGACATCTGGTGGCCAACCTGCAGATGACATCCTCCTAATATCACAAGTCCAGAGCACCAGGAGCGGGTCTTAATTGCTCCATGCGCATCTTTTGCGCTATCTGGTTAGTGCATTATTTGTACAATCACGAGATCACAAGAGTCACGAATATCTTTGAACATGGATTATTGGGACAATTGCACCTATCACTTTATCTCACCATGCAATATGGACTGAGTTTTTTCATATAAGTTATTATGCTATTCATGTTCTGATTTTTCCGCCTGTTCTTACTAACTTTAATAGCGCTGCATATCTTATTTTACAAGTAAGAATTGATACTTTATTGTTTCTGTGCATTAAACTCCAAATTTGTATTTTTTATGACAAAATCTCTTTATAAGCCACAAATGTAACCACATGGGTTATTGCTCCCTAAAATGCCCCTTTTTTAAGGCTGGTAATAACTAGGTTTCACTGAGGTGCCAACTGTGGAGAGCAGGAAAGAGATATTTGAGGCAGTGATAAACAAAAAATGGCATATAACCCTTTATGAGAAAAAAAGGAATTTAACAGGTAAATGCTCATTTTGAAAGTTAAAATAACTCATCTTTGTGAACTACCTAATGGCAATTCTCCAATAAACCAATCTTATAATTCTTATTTAAGAAAATTCCAGCACCTGGAACAGAGAGGAAGACTTACCCAAAGCTGCAAAACTGAACTGGAACAACAAGACATTGATGGCAATCAGAGCTAGGTAATAGTTTACTTTCATGGTGCAGTCTTGTGCCTTAGTCACCCAGAAGAAGAAGAGTTGGTGTCACCGTGTAGAATGTACAACCTCTGTTAAATATATATATATTAGAAAATGGTTAGAAACCACACCCCCAGATAGACCAGTTCAGTAACTTTACTAAGTAATGTCAATTCTCTTGTTTGGTGAGATCATTTCAGAATATACCTTGAGGGTACTGGTAAGCATGCCTTACAGTAGCAAAAAAGTCAATTTATAACACAATTTGATGTTCTAAATATGTTGCTGTCATAAAAGGAGATGTATGAATGTGTTTTTCAAAACCTACAGTACATAATAAGAAAAAAAAATTATCATCAGATAAGTAAGAAAACAGGTTTCTCTTCCACCCCTGGCCCACTCTCTCTTGTCAAAATGAATCCAGACTTCACCCCGGGTATGTCACATGCCTTCCTTGCAGGTCCTAACCCCACAGACAGTTTGAGTATGTACCACCTTTTTAAAGATGGGAAGTTCTTATCCAGAGACCTCATTCTGAATAAATGGCCATCCCTGACCTTGACACCGTGGATGTATAGACAACTCCCCCACTTTATATATAGCTCCTCACATATAAAGGAATACACTAGATCTCTTACCCCATTTGAAAAACTTTGCTCAACGGAGTCCCCCC